TCCTATTTTTGCATCAGGATGAGCTTGACTGAGTTCTATAGTCAAATAATTCATGAAATCCTAGGTACTAGTATGTGTATTTTATGAGATATGATATAAATATAGAAACTCAAGGATCAAATTTATTTTGAGTAACTAACAAGTGAGAACTGTTTTTAAAGTATCCTAAGCAATGTAGAACATAATTCGGCCTTTCCAAGGGCTAATTTTCAAGTTGACTCATTCCAAACCACTATGTTTCTCTTATGAAAAAACAAATGTTCAAGGGGATGAGAGGACTGCCTTTCATCAATCTTATTAGCAACCTCCAGAAGATTATAGACTCAGGAAATTAAGTATTAAAATTTAATTAACTCTCCAAGTAACATGAAGAAAATAAAAAAGAGTGAAGGAAATTCACATTCCTTTCAAGAAGTCTTCTGAAATATATTTCAGTCTGCTTCTTGTATTTAAAATACAAACTAGGGACTATTTTTTGCTAGACAAAATGTACATAGCATTTTAATATACTGTAAGATAATTACAGTCATTGGCAAATCCATATTTTAGTCAAGTCATGATAATAGATTTATTTTTTTTCCTTAAGAGACATCTAAATTATATATACATGATGCTGAGATAAGGAGCCCAAGTGATACAAGGGTTACATCTGCTAACCATCTCAGCTACTAACCAAAAGTATGGTGATTCCTACCCACATAACTACTTCTTAGGAGAAATACCAGTCACTCTACTCCAATAAAGATGACAGCCTAGGAAACCCTATGGCACAATTCTACTCCATCATATGTAGAAGCTATGAGTCAAAATCAACTTGGTGGCACCTAACAACAACCATGGTGTTGAAATATATTGACTTAGTTAAAAAAAAAAAAAAATCAATCTAGTTTATAGTCATCATGACAATCTCTCCCATGAGAATTGCCGGAAAAACCTAAAAGTACAAATTCCTGTGCCTCGTTCCCTGGATTCTGATTTGCTAAGTCTCAGCTGGGACTCAGGGTATCCATTTAATTTATTTTTCAATTTCCCCATGTGATCTCAATGGGCAACCAGGTTTGTGGACCACTGTCTGCTAACCATAAGGTCAGCAGTCCAACCTCTTCCCCACCCCCAGCTGCTCCGCTGATGGAAGATGGGGCAATCTACTTCTGTAAAGATTTACAGCCTCGGAAACCCAATGGAGTTCACTATGAGTTGGAAGCAACTCGATGGCAGTGAGTTTGGTAATTTTGGAATATAGAAAAACACTCTCATAGAATGAAACTTTCATCTCCCTGGGGCATTAGAGCTGGGGTCAATCCAAGGTAAAATAGCAAAAGCAAATTACTAGAATGAGGGTAATCTAATACTCACTGTTGAGAAATAGAATCAGGCTACAGAAGGAGAAACCAGGATCCAGGGTGAAGCAGGCTGTGTGAAATAGGAAGGGAGGTCAGGATACAATGGCAAAATCACCATCGGCTCCCAGGAGAAAAGTGTAAGCCAGAATTTAGGGAGCTCTGAGATTCACATCTGAGTCCAGCCTGGATTCCGTCTTGAATCTGGCACTAGACATCTGTCTATAGAATCACATCTTCCATGCAAATATCTTTATTAGAATATCAGCTCATTCGGGGTTAGACAACCCCTAGTGCCTAAACCCTGGAGGTTCAAACCCACCAGCCACTCCTCAGAAGGAAGGTTGGGCAATCTACTTCTGTAGTGATATTTCTTCAGAAACCCAAGAAGGGGTTACTATGAGTTGGGTCTGACTCAATGGCAGTGAGTGAGTAGCAATTTTCTCTGGGTCTAGAATTTTCATTTCAGTTTTGAGCTATAGACTGAGTGATACTACTAACATCCCCATGGGTTGAAAGCATCTAACCAGTGATCTGATTTTAATGGAGTAAGGCCTATGAAAGTATGTGACCTCACTTTTGTGTGTACACCTGTAGAACCCTTCAAATATTTGTGTGAATATAGATATAAATAAAGGTGTTGAGCCCTAGTAAAATGATGGGCCTGGGTCTGAATCCATCTTAATTTCTGCTTATTTTCCTAACAACCGTTAACCTTTGTACAGACTTAAGTATATAACTGAAGAAATGTTTGTTTGCTTTTTAAGCTAACGAAGGATCATTCTTGAAGGTGTCTTGGCACAAAAGACTTATCTGAAATCTCCTGAGCAATCAGCCCTTAGGAAATGTTTTTCCTAAGAAGATATTTTAATAGAATGTTCTCAGAAAAGGAGTATCTTAGTATTGTCTTAATGACAACCTGGGAACCCCCTTTTCTATTTCTATAATTATGTCATATAACCAATCTAAGAAGCCCACATATGCTCTGTAAACCAATCAACAAAAAGCACCACTTTGTGTTAGCCCACCCCTAGTGTCCCTCATTTTCAGACTAAACCTAAAAACCAAACCACAGACCAGGAGTAGATTCTGACTCATAGCGACCCACATTGGGTTTCTGAGGCAGTAAATCTTTACGGTAGTAGATTACCCAGAAAGCAAAATAGTAGTGGTGATGGTTTGAAACCACCAACCTTCTGGTTAGCAGTCAGATGCCTTAGGGACCGTGCTATCAGAGCTCCTTAATTTTCAGATTGGCCATCAGAAAAGAACACTGTTAGTTCCTGATTTTACCATGTAAATGTGCCCGTTCACTTTCAACTACTTGGAGTACCTAGTTTGATTTTGCAGACCAAGTATATAACCAATCCGAACTGTTTGTGAGCCATCAATTAATCATTTTGCTTTTATTTTCCAGAGTCTTCATTCTTATTGTAAGATACTTTTAACTGTTGCTTAATAAATAGTATTTACCCCATGGGTATTGAGCTTACGGTAGTGCAAACTTTTTACAAATGAGTTTAAACTTTAGGTAAAATGAAAGGACAGTTATTTCTTGGGTAACAGTAATACATTTATTTCATTATAATTTGTTTTCATCCATAAAAAGGACAAAGCACAGTCCTATGCTACTCCATTGAAAAAAATGATAAAAAATAACTAAAAAATCAATTCAATATTCATCAGTATCAAATAAAACTACTATCACCTTTCTTGAAATACAAAGAAACAGATGTCTATATCTATATAAAGTTTAATTAATCTTGTGTCTTAAAGCAGATGATACATTGTTTGACTACAATTTAAAACTGATGGTCCCAGTCAAATTTGTACAATTGTAGGAGGAAATGAAAAGCTTGAATGATCAGTATATGAGTGATTTTAATCTATTTCTTCTTCGCCACAAATTTTAAATTAAACAACTTCCAAAGTCAGTTTTCTTTTAACCTTTCAGAATCATTTCATGCAAAATCTAACCAGTTTTGCTCTTTATTACCATACATTAGAAAATAAAAGGCAAGCATGCATTTGGGAAAAAAAAAAAAAAAATAGTTGTTGATTATATATAAAACAAACCCAAAGTGTAACAATGAAAACACAAACATTTGTACAGAAGGCTTACAGAATATTCATTTCCCTAAAGTGTGAATACATTTTGTTTCTTTTCCACATAACTAAATAGTTTATGAAATCTAGTAATGATTTTAAGACTGTTGACATACTTCCACTGGGAAATCATCCATTTCATTTATTTTAAAAAGTTTCATTTTGTAACAAAGAGTTAAATGTAAACTAATGAAATATTTATTGATATTTTTATAATGAAAGCTCTAAACATTTACACATAGATAAGATATATAGTACAAAAATTATACAAATTAAAGAAAGGGGGGTAAAGTAGTAATAGATCTATTTTGCTTCCTGTAAATATTTTTTTTTTATGAACCTATAAGGTATCCTTTCTAAAAAGATAAACTCTATCTCTAATTAGCTAGCAAGGTTGTGCTAATAAAATAGGATCATACCTCTTGAAGCATCATTGCACTATTTCACAAGCCAGCTAATCCTTTATTACTCAATGTCTTTCACATCCACACTCAAATACATTTCCGTGCACACCATGGAGAATGAAGAAATTTATGTCTTCCTTTTCACATTTTATAAAAACCCAAAGTACAAACACTTGGGAGATAGTGTTAGCGGACATACTGTCTTCCCCTGGCCTTCAAGTTTTGCATACCTTACAGTTTTGCATACTCTTCAAAGTACCATTGGCAATATATTGATTTGGTTTTTTTAGCCAGTTTTCAGTATTGCATTAAAATGGGAAATGAGTATAAGACTAAAATTTAAAAATTAAAAAAAAAATAGAAATGCTACAGCTTTTCAACCTACAGAAGATTTCTTGATCCCATATCTTCAATTAAAAGAAAAATTATACTTAGGAATGAAGCACAAAAGCAAAATTATTAGAATATTATTAGGTAATTTTGATATTTGCTTAACTGTCACTTATTCCTAGCTGTGTAAAGATAGTCTCGTCTCTGTAAAAAAATGTGGAAGCACTCTACTTTTCAGAATTCATTCACATATGAATAAAAACAAGTGATAGGACATGCTCAATAAAAACTGTGATTTTTTTATGTTTGAAATTGATAAGCATAAAATAACTTGACACAATATAAAAGTAAAAAAAAGAAACTCCCTATGATATGTTAAAGAACTAAAATGTATTACTGACTATGAAAATCAAATATTTAAAAAATTGTTACTCTGAAAATAAGAATACTGACAATAAATTTATAATTTTTTTAATATTAAAAGCTTTTCAACTCATTAGGTAAAATGATTTGGTAATGGGATTTATGTTCAAAGGTATCAGATATACTCTTTGTTTTTTAAAAAGAAAACTCTAAATCTTGTGAATGATAGGGGTCATTCAAAAATTTGCAGGACCTAAAACAGAGGATAGTACAGGAGACTGAATTACTCTTACATTTACCACATACAATCAACGTTTCAACCTCTATTATATTTCACGACTTGTTAATAAATTTGAAGCACCTGTGTATGGTGATTTTATTTTCACTCTACAGCCTATAGTATTGAATTGAACACTGTAACTTGTCCCATTGGATTAAATCATGCAACTGTCACAGAATCAGGTTAAGTGGTTTATAAGGCATATTGGAACGAGTTAAAAATCATCTTATATCCATTTAAAGAAAAGTTTATTCTTTTGGATGAAGGGTTCCTGAATGCCTCAGTCAAAACATGTGTTGTAAATCAGCTGGATAGTTTGTTAAAGTATAATTTATTTGGCTAGAATGGAGCCAAAGGGATTGGAAAGAATTGTAGTCCTCACAGGGATGATGGGTGTCCACTGAGCTGGGTCGGGAACAACAGCTGTCACACCACATTCAGAATTCCAAGTAGACAAGGATACCAAGAGCAGGCAGCAGTAAGCCAAGGAGACTCGGTGATAGGGTGGATGAACCTGCAAAGTAAACCAATAGTGTGTGTATCATTTCATTGGTAATGGTCATTATTGCTCTTTCAGTTTGATTTGGGCAATGCCAGATTATGAAGCCTTGAACACCAAATGCTTCCCTTTATTCTTAAGTGATTTATGGAAAATGTTTGATTAAAAGTTTTTGAAATGTCTGTGTGTAAATGTGTGGACTATTCATTCAACATGTTTCTACACATCAGTTAAAACAATAAAGACATACATGTTTATGTTGCCTCTACTGTCTAACCAAAAACCAAACCCACTTCCACTGGGTCAATTCCAACTTATAGAGACCCATTAGAACAGGGTAGAATTACCCCATAGAATTCCAAGGCTGTATATCTTTACAGAAGCAGCCTGCTTCATCCTTCTTCCATGGCTGGTGTGTTTGACCCAGCAACGTTTTGGTTAGCAGCTAAATGTTTTAACCACTGTGTCGGTAGAGCTACTGTCTATGGTCCAGCAGTCCAAATTCCCACTAGAATGCAAAGGCAAACTTGAAGAAGTTAATTGTGGTGCAGGGAATTACTTGGTATGGCTCTTCTAGCCAAAGTCTTTGTAACTCCCACCAGATGACTAGGTAGAACTATGCAAATGTGAGGTGCTTATAGTCCACCAAAGTCCAACATAGGTATTGGACTTTGCCATTCCACTAGGCTTAAAATGAATCATTCCAGAGGCAGAAAGGGGGATCTCACTACCGTCAAGAAAGAAGAGCCAGGAGTAGGGCAATTCTTTTGGATCTGAGGTCTGCACTGACTTCCTCAACCCAGGAGACAGGGAACTATAACACTTTGCTGAGATGGTGAGAAGTGGCAGCCAACCCCTACAGTAGACCCTGGTAGCAGAGACCAGCACAAGACAGAGCAGTGGGCTTCCTGGCCCATGGAGCAAGAAAGACAAGTGCCTTTAGTCAGGATGCTTGCTGAGGTAGCGGGGTGCCTCTCTGAGTACTTACTGACAGAGCTAAAAGTGCATTATAACACTTGCCTGAACAAGGCAGAGGTCAAGGCCTGAGATAAGTGTGCCTGAGGTATGGCTGAGAAGAGGCTGTCCTGATGGAAGTACTGTATCCTGAGTAATTTCTGATCCTGAATTGTAACCTGTTTCTTCTCTAATAAACCCATAATCATGAGTATTGTCTGTTCTGTGTGGCCATTGCAATGAATTATCAAACACAGGAAAGAAGTAGAGAGTGTTGTTGGGAGGGACAGTTGGTGTCTGTTCTGGTTACCTAGTGTCACTCTGACAAGAATATACCACAAATGGGATGGCTTGAACAAACAGGAGTATATTCTCTTATAGTTCAGGAGGCTAGAAGTATGAGTAAAAAGTGCCAGGCTCCAGGGTCTGTGTGAAAGCCCCTCGACCTTGGGCTTTAGCTCTGACTCTTGCCCCCAGCCTACTGAAGCTAGAGGCATCTCTTCACTCAGGCAGCTACTGGCTGCTGAGGCTGACAAGCCCAAGGTCGACAAATAAAATGCCATAGTCCTGATGTTACCAAACCACATGGCAGGCCATTAATTCAAGTCCACCGAAAGCCCCAAGGTCAGCAGAGCACGGCAGGTTGCTGAAAAATGACACGGCTACATGCAGGGTTCAAGCATGCCATAAGCTAGAGACCATTCCCAAAGCTGTTTCTTATATACAGGAAGCAGACCACGTCCCTAAAGCAGCTACTAAGCTGCATATGGTAGGTCCCACTATGGAGTTGATTGCCAGTCTCATCATGGGGGATAACTACCACCAGCTGCTCAGCCACTCAAGCAGGCCCAGCCAAGTTGACACACAAACTTAACCACCACAGTGTCAGAATTGGAAAAAAGGTTGGAGGGTGACAGCATGTTTGACCTTCACTTCACAGGAATCACCTTGGGCTGTTGATGTTCATCTCTTTCCGCCTTGTAAAATTAGAGGTCAGAGGATGCTGCCTCCATATACTTTTTGTATAACAAATGAGTACAAATCATATATAAGCATTTGAAAAATGAGAAATAGAGAGAGATGTAGTGAAAATTATGATAATGTTACTAAGTGACATCATAGAAATATAGGATAGATCTTACACAGTTTCTTATCCTAATGGTTTTAAGACACCTATCTAGATGTTTATATACAATGACTTCAGAAATGTATTTTTTATTAATACTGAGTAACTTCCTATTCAAATTTTTACTGAAAAGAAATTGCTCTGAGCTATTATGCCATATAATAAAAATAGGAAGGATAGAATTACTACAAATTTATATTACAGCTTGAGTGCTGCCCAGAGGATATTCCTGTGGTAAAGAAATTTTATAGGTCTCGATTCTGCCTACAATGGAATTATTGCATAAGGATTGAAAAGTGGGACCTACAAGGCACATTCTTCCTTTCTATTCTTCATATGTATAAAGCACTATCTCCAATAAACACAATACAGGAATGAGTGAAAAATACAGTCAACAGCTTGCGAACCTAACAGGACTCTGTAAATTTTTGGTAGTTTATTCTCCAAATTTGAACCTTAATTCATTATTATCTATCATATTAAAAATGATGCAAATTTGGAAGATTTAGGATACTTTTGAATCTCCCATTACGAGTGCATTCATGTTCCCTTAAGGTGAGAAATTATATTTATCTATGTGCCTGCATTCCATTATCCTCCTGTTAGAAGCATTTGGTGCAGCATGGAAAACAGAAGAGGAAAATCTTTATCAGACATAGATAATATGGTTCGTGGACATGAGCAAGTCAGTAAGGGCCAAAAAGTGAGAGCAGAAAAACAAGGACAATTAAATGACCCTCAAGTAGCTGCTAATATTCTCATGAATGCAGATGTTGCATAGCAACTATGAATCACAGTAACACTGATAATAACTATGATAGCTGCTATATCTACTGTTCTATAGTCATGAGATGGAATCTATGGAGGCCCTTTACATATGGCCCTGATATTAATGCTACAGCTTATGATGGTAGGTCTTTTTTTTTTGAACTTTTTATTGTGATTTGAACGAAAATTTATAGAGCAAACGGGTTTTCCATTCAACAATTCACACACATTTAGTTTCATGGCATTGATTGCAGTCCCCACAATGTAGCATCACTCTTCCCATTTCCTCCCTGCATTTACTGTTTTCATTTGTCCTTTCCTGTCCCTTTCTGCTTTCTGAGCTTTATCCCTGAGAAAATGCTGCTCTTTTAATCTCATACAATTGGTTATTCTAATGAGTGCATACTGCCCTGGTGTTACTATTCACCAAAAAAGTCTATTGTTTGGCTGAAAGTTGAGCTACAGGGGTTAGTTCAGTTCCAGGACTGAAGGATAACTAAGGGCAACTAAGGGTCTTGTGGGTTACACCAGTCTCTAGCAGACCAGTAAGCCTGGTCTTTTTCATTGTTTTGAGTTTTGTTCTACATTCTCTCCCACTCTATCCAGGACCTTGTATTGTAATGCCATTCAGAATGGTCCGCAGTTGTTGATGGGCACCAACTAATTCGGGTCTCAGGGTCGAGGAGGCTGAGGTTCGTGTGCTCCATTGTCCTTTGGATTATTTGTTTCTATGTGTTTTTTATTTTCTTCACTCTTTTCTTTTGATGGGGAGAGACTAATAATTGCACTTTTGATGACCACCACTAGCTTTTAAGACTCCAGTCATTACACATCACAGTAGGATGTAGAACACTGTCTTTGTGAACTATGTTATGTCAATTGCCTTAGATGTCCCCTGAGACTGTAGTCCTAAACTGCCAAGCCCAGTGACTCATTTCCTCAAGGTGTTTGTTTATGGCTAAAAAGTTTTTTTTTTTTTTTTTATAAATCTTCCCCCTAATTGTTCTACAACATATGTGGATATATTTACAAGACATAGAGATAATATATATAGAATTATCCTTTGCCAAACCTCTATATAGTTGTGGGTATAGTTGCATTTACCTTCCCATACCTGTTCAGCTTGCCTGTGTGCCTATCTATCTGCTCATAGATTATTGTGTGTTATCACTGATATTATAGGATTGTATATATAACAGTGTGATAGTTAAGGTTGTGTGTCAACTCAGCTAGGTCATGATTCTATGTGGTTTAGTAGTTATGATGTAGTCATCTTCCATGATGAGATGTGATATAATGTAATAACATCCATGATGAGACTTGCTTTGAGCTGTCAATTAGTTGAAAGGGATTTTCCATCAGGGTGTTGCCTGCTTTCAGTACATATGGAAAAGCTCTGGCGAAGTTCTCTGGCTTTTTGCTTGAGATCCTGCACCTGGCTCATTCATCATCATCTGGGTTTGAACCAATGGCCTGCCATATTGCCTGCCGATCTTGGGATAGTTGCTTTCACAGCCTGTGAGCCAACAACTTGCCAGTCTTGGATTTGTCAACCTCCAAACCAAGCAGCCTGCTGTATTGCCTGTAGATTTGGGGCTCGTCAGCCCCTGCAGCTACATGACTCAGGAAAAGCTTGACATCCAGCTAGACATCTGATCTACAGACTTGAAACTTGCCAGCCTCTACAAAGGCATTTCCTTAATATGAATTTTTCTCTCTCTACATATACATAAGCTTCCTTGGTTTTGCTTCTCTAGAGAACTCAGCCTAAGGCAAATAGTATTTACCTTTATTTTCTGTGCGTGCACCTCTCTGTGTCTTCCTTTGCCTTAGTGATAGTGTGTGATTGCCCTTTTATTGTACACTGTCTTTCCCTTCACACAAATTAATACATGTCTCTGGTGGTATAGTACCTAAGGCATTTGACTGCTAACGAGAAGGCTGGCAGGTCAAACCCACCAGCCACACTTTGGAAAGATCGGATAATCTACTTCTGTAGTGATAATGCCTTGGAAACCCAAGGAGCAGTCTCTGTGAGTCAAATCTGACGTGATGGAAGTGAGTTTGGTTTGGTTTATGATCTAGTTAATGACTTTCCCTTCCCTACCTGCCTAACCCTGGGCAGTAGGTCTTATTATCTTGATTTTATGGATAATCTAATTCAGAT